TAGGTGACACATAGGTGAGATAGGTGACACATAGGTGAGATAGATGACACATAGGTGAGATAGGTGAGATAGATGACACATAGGTGAGATAGGTGACACATAGGTGAGATAGGTGCCAAATAGGTGAGATAGGTGAGATAGATGACACATAGGTCAGATAGGTGACACAAGGGTGAGATATAGGTGACACACAGGTGAGATAGGTGACACATAGGTGACATGTGAGATAGGTGACACATAGGAGACACATAGGTGACACACAGGTGACACACAGATGATCTCGAGGTGAGCCTAGCGAGGCTGAGCGGTGAACTTGAGGCTGGTATACTCCACAGGCTCCTCCTTCCTGGCGTGACGAACCGGCGACTTGGACGAGGCGCCCTGACCTTGAGCTGACCCCGCCGAGGCCAAGGTCATGTAGAGAAGGCCGTCGGGGTTGTGGTAGTAGCCGTTGCTGGCTCGCTTGTCTTTGTCGCTGTTGTTGTCGCCGGCAGAACAATTCTGGGGAGGACAGGATAAGATTGTGGTGTGGTCCAACATTTGTGTCAACTATCACTGTGTCAACTAGCACACAGGACAAGATAAGATTGTAATGTGGTCCAACATTTGTGTCAACTATCACTGTGTCAACTAGCACACAGGACAAGATAAGATTGTAATGTGGTCCAACATTTGTGTCAACTATCACTGTGTCAACTACCACACAGGACAAGATAAGATTATAGTGTGGTTCAACATTTGGGAGAATCAATGTCACCCATACTTTGTCCAGCAGTTTGTACAAATTTGTCTTATCTTCATCAAATTTTTCCACAACAATTGAGGCTTATTTAAAAAATGTTTTCTTTATAAATTATTTCATGATGCAGTGGAACCAGGCGCTCGTCAGTTATTGGACATATGCAGTTATTGCTATCATCTGAAAGGTCATTCATTTGTCTTGCCATCAACGAAAAGACAACCCGTCTATCTCCGATACGTCAAGATATTGGCCATCAACGAAAAGACAACCCGTCTATCTCCGATACGTCAAGATATTGGCCATCAATGAAAAGACAACCCGTTTATCTCCGATACACGTCAAGATATTGGCCATTGATTGATTGATTGGGTAGATGTTTTACGGCACTATCGACACAATTTTGGCCATTGAAGGGGGTGGGGGGCGCCAGGTTTCAGAGGAAAAATTAGCAAGAAAATGGCCGCCAACCTTGAGTTCTTTCCTTAGCTTGAGAGTCCGTGGATCTGAAAATGTACATCTTTTCTGCCTTTAATCAACGTGTTTCAGTAAAACACACACAGGAATGAGTTCTTTTATGGGCATGAAAGATGCGAAGCCAAAACAACAAGAAATTGATAAAAAATTCCCAAACCTGCGGGACACTGACAGTTCCTCGACTTTCATTATTTTGACGAGCGCCTCATTTCACCACGATGCCTCACAATTAATACAAAATACGACAAATCTCCGCCGAGCGGGACATGGGATTGTTCACAGCAACAGCACTTCCCACACATGTTGTGTACAGATATTATCATGGCCTACGTCATAGCTCACCAATGACACTTTGTAACGGCAAAACTTGTGACAAAAAATACATGTTTGAGAGAACACTTTTTTTCACTAAATGCTCCCCAAACGTGCGCCCAATAAGCACAATGTAATGATGACAACAAAGGACAGACTTGCTTTTGAAAGGGGAACCATTTCTTATCTCAGGTCATCGGGTGTGAACCTTTGACCATCTGCAGAAACCATCCATTGGGATTTGTCATTAACGGTCATTATTTAAGGAACTTTCTAGAATAAAGCTAACAGGTGTTAGTTTGTTTTACGGCACTTGCAACACAATAAGGTTATATAAGTTCCGAAGATTAGAGGAGTTACAAGAGAGTAACAGGCGTTTACAAGAATATTGATCTGTTAGGACAAATTGATACAAGTTATTTTGCCAAAGCTGGAGACTATGTTTGAAAGTTGAGGAGATATTTGACAATAAGTTGTGCCACGAATTTATCACCTCACTATAGTGGGGGTTCTGGGAAAGGCTTCACGGAACGTTAGATCTAGTGAGGGTTCTGGGCTACTGTTCACAGAACGCTGACACGGTCAACCACAGAGGAAATGTTAGGTCTAGTGAGGGTTCTAGGCTAGGCTCCACAGAACGTTAGGTTTAGTCACAGCAAGGTTAGGGGAGGGGGGGTGGGGGGTGGGACGGGAGAGTCTTTCAGAGGCCCAGCCGGTGGGATCAAGGATCGCTTGTCCGATCGGCAAGCAGTGGTCAAAACTTCACACCTCTCAGCTGCTATCCTGTCTGATCATGACATGCGTCAGTCTTACTTATCCAATTACCTCCAGTGCTTGCCTTTCATAGGACCACTGTTTGACCGATTCAATACAGACACGTTTGAACATGTCACAGGACCATTGTTTGACTGATTCAATACAGACACGTTTGAACATGTCACAGGACCATTGTTTGACTGATTCAATACAGAAACGTTTGAACATGTCACAGGACCATTGTTTGACTGATTCAATACAGACACGTTTGAACATGTCACAGGACCATTGTTTGACTGATTCAATACAGA